GTTTTATTAGATTTTACTTAATTTTACATAATTTTCATTCTATGTGTAGGAGAGGACTTAATTAGAAAAAATCATAATTTTTAAGAGCAAATTGTAGAGATTAAAAGCTAAGGATTAAGTTGTGCAGAATCCAAAAGTTAGGGACCAAGACTGTAATTTTACCATTAAAAAAAATTCTTGGAAGGCCAAAAACCTGACACATTGATTGCCCTGTGCGCTTAACATAAGGTGTCGACACCTAGTTGAAGGTGTTGACCCCTTCCCCTTGCGCGATTTTCAGCGACCCGTGTCTAATTTATTATTTTAAGTGTGGGTCTCACTTTTAGTCCAATTAGGGTTTCTAAAATCCTATAAATACTCATCCAAATTTAGAAAAGAGAGAGCTTTGGAGGAGATCTTTTGGTAGCTCTCTTTTGGACATTCATGGAGATCAAGACGGATGATTCATCAATAATAAAAGATTAAGGAGTTTAAGTTTCTGGTGACGAAACCTGTGGAACAAAATGGTGGAGGGACATCTGTAGTATAAATACAATAGCAGGGGAAAATAGGGGATGGGTAGCTAATGGTTTTAAATTAAAAGTAGGTGAAGGGGTTAGTACTAATTTCTGGTGGGATATCTGAAGAGGGGAAAGGTGCCTTGCTAACAAATATCCTAGACTTTACTCTCTATCTATAGGAAAGGATAACAAAATTCCTCAAATGGGAGAATGGCTTAATGGTAAATGGGAATGGAACCTTCAATGGAGACGAAACTTCTTCAGCTGGGAAACTCAACAAGCAGGAGATCTACAAAAGGACATACAAGACACAAGACTCATAAGAGGCAAACCAGACCTTTGGGAATGGGCTCACAGCAAAGATGGAACCTACTCCACAAATTCAACATATCAAATACTCACAAGGGAGACTAGATTGGATCAGCATGGAATGGAACTCCAGAATGTATAGAACAAGCTGATCCCCAACAAAATCTTGGCTTTCTCATGGCAATTACTGCAGGACAAAATCCCCACAAAGCTTAATCTGCATAAACGAGGTATTATTCAAGCTCTTGAAGATTGCAAATGTGCTTTATGTGGTAAGGAAGCAGAGAATACTAGCCACCTCTTTATACACTGTAATTGTGCTTGGTATCTTTGGAATGATTGTTTCAAATGGTGGGGTCTTATACATGTGCTTGATAAAGACTGCTGGAAGGTGTTTCAGCAGCACCCAAATCCATTAAGAAGGGCGAAATGGAAGGAGGGATGGGAATGCATTTGGTTTGGTATTGTTTGGACAATATGGCTTGCTAGAAATGAGAAGATCTTTC